TTGTGCTGCGCGGCAGCTAGCCATAACAAGCTAAAGGCAAGCATTTCAGAATTATTTCTGAACATTCGCCCATCACATGGTTATGCTGCGCCAAGCCAAGCCTTGCCTCAGCCTCGTGCATCGAGTGCCTCGATTCTCCGCAGTTCGCTTCATTAGCATACACATCTGAGCAGGGAGCAGCCCAATGGACCAGGAATGCTGCTGGCGTTGACCACCGTTGCATTGAAAGAACCGTTAAAAGACCATTATCCCACGGCCCCCTTTTCCATTTGCTACACCCTGTTCGCGTGAACGTTGTATCCTATGTGTTGTGCCGCGTGGAGACCCGATACGTGGACTTGGCCGGGACCCCCCCCCCCCCCCCCATGGCAGTCAGGGTCGTCTCCGTTCACCTGCCAGAGGCTGGTCTGAGCGCTCCACTGTTCGAACAGACCCCGTCCTCGTCCGAACATAGCCCACTCCCCCCAATGCCCAGTCAACTCCGGCCCCACTCGGAGCTTGCCCGCCGCTGCCCGAGCTCAGCGCGTCCCTGCCCGGGGCCGCCCCGCCCCGCCGGTGCCCCGGTCGGGCCGGTTGCAGCGGCGGCCGGCGGCCGCCGCCAGCGAGCCGGCCGCCGACGCCGCGCGGCCGGCCGGCCGGCTCGCTGTCGCGCCCCGTGGCTCGAGCCGGGCGGACGGTGCGCGGCGCGTCTCCTGCCAGCGGGCGGTCCGAGTGGACGTGTTGTGGCCGGTCGGCCGTCGCGCCCCGGCAGGAGCAGCGCCAGGTGAGTGGGCGGCACCGAGCCGGGACTGGGTGCGCGCCCCCCGGCGCTCGGCTACTGAAGTGATTTCCTTGCCGCCGGAGCGGCCAGTGATTGAACAGCTTTGTTTCATTATGTGCTGACGAATCGGCTGTCGCGCCATGATGGATGCAGACCTGAGACCGCACAGAAGTCAGCCGCGCTGGTGCAGTGGGCAGGCGCGGTGATTGGTCTCTGTTCGCTGCCGGAGGCGGCGATAGCAAGCCTCCGACGGTTTCACTTTTGATCAAGCGGTGCGAAATATGCGACACGGGGTTTCCACCATCCGCTTTCTAGAACAGCGCGCTACTTGGCAGGGTCCACCGGGTACACATTACTCTTGCTCGTCGATGTTGGACGGGGAGAAATCGGCGCATGGTCGTTCAATTGCAGGGGACGGCTGGGGCGTCGCGCAAGCCAGTCTGCCCCGCCGCCGTCGCGCTCGCCCGGCCTTGGGGCCAATCACGAAGGTGACGACCAAGTGGCCGCCGCTGCCGAAAGTGTTCACGTGACACTGGCGGCTGGCTCTCGGGAGCCTGGCCGGAGAAACCGGCCGCGCCGGCCGCCACCGGCCAAGGTCGCCAGGTCCTGCTGCCGGCGCTGCGGCGGCCGCCGGGCCGCGGACGGGGGGCCGGCCGCGCGCCAGGCTGCGCTCGAGGTCTCGGACGCTCCCGGGCAGGCGCGCCGGGCCGGACGGTGCTCGGCGCAGATCGTGCCGGCGCAGGGCCGCGGTCGGGGCGTGACACTGCGCTTCAGATGCGCTTCGGCTTGTGGCGCTAACCGGCTGGCTTAGCGAAACCGGTCCAGGATTGACCACAGGACGTTCCCCCACTCCGACCGGACGGTAGGATGAGTGCGTGCGTACGAGTGCATGAACTCTGTGGCTTTAATGTGGATGGGGCATGTAACGTGTCATACCTGGACGACAGACAAATATTGCAGTAGGATGCACACGGAGATTGCGTGATTGCTGAATGTTCGCATTAAGTTGTGGTGGCCACAACCGAAGTGCATGGTGTTGTCCATTGCCGGGTTTGCCACTGATATTTGAAGGATTTTGTGAAGCATTGCTGCCGCCTACGGACCCACCACGGGCGAGTTAACCGTGCAAAATCGAGTTCCATCACCGACACCGCAGAAGTCCTACCTCCCCCCCCCCTCCCTCCTTCCCCGTCCCGTCCGGAAATCGGTCCTTGTCACCTCCCACATTCTTGTCGGCGAGCGATGCCTCTGATCGTTGGAGCCGGCTTGCCCTCCGCCCCGGGGCGGCTGTTCGGAGACGACGGCTGCAACCCGCCGTCACTATTGTTTGCGATTTCACCGCCGGTCCAGAGGGCCCGGCACAATGGCCAACGGTGGGGCGCGTCTGGCTGCGCGCGTGCGTGCCCGCCGAGGCGGCCCCGGGTCCGCCCGACGGGTCACGCGCGTCCTCCCTCGGGGCGTGTCGGGGTCAGCTGGCCGGCGGTGCCTCGGCCCAGTCTCCAACCGTCGGCCAGCCTGAGCGGGCGCCTCGCTCCGCCGCCGCCGCCGCCGCCGCCGCCGGCACAGGTAGGAGTCGGCCGGCGTTGCTCGGAGCGCCGAAGCAGGCGGGAATTTCCGCCGACCCGTCGACCCGCCACCGAGTCCCACCGTCGACCCGCCGCCGCGCTCGAGCGGGCCGAGCGGGGCGGTGCGCTGCCGGTGCGCTGCTCACGTGCCGTTGCGCCACGCTGGCCCCAGCAGCGGCCGTTTTTGTCGGCCGCTCGCGGCGGCGCGGCCGGCCACGCGAAGTGCCGATTCCTCCGACCGGCGACTGGTCGGGACGGGCCCTCATTAGGTGCGGGCTGGTGGTATGTCGGGGTCGGGGTTCACGCCTGTCCGCCGGCGGCGGCCCGGCGCGGCTGGTCCGCCGGCTTGCGGGCTACGGGTGGGGATAGCGTTTGGCGCGGTCAGGAGGTCTTCCTGTTGCATGATGCATTGCAGAGGGAGGGGGGGGGGGGGGCAGCGCGCCAAGAGGCGTTTGCGTCAGGTGTGCCGCAAGCCAGCCGCGCGGCACGGTGTGTGGTAAGCCGTGACCCAGCCTGGGACACGTTCTGTACAGATCGTGGAGGCCGAACTTAGATGCGGATGCCGCTGGTGCGAGTAGTCTTTCTGGAGGTAGCCTTGTTAGCTTTTTCACTGTTTTGCTATGCTTTATTAGCTTGCGCTTTTACGTAAAGCACCGTGTGATGCATTATGAAAGAAGCCGTAGGAAGATGTATTCCAGCGCTTGCACAGCCGTATGGTTGGTAACGTTTAGCCGCATATCTGCAGAACCAACAGAGCGAATCTTTTAAACACTAGTTACGACCATAGAGCTGGTGGCGTTGTAGAGGCGTATCGAAACATGTGCAGGATTTATTTTAAGCGCGATGTGTTCATGCGTGAATTACTGCTCAGAGAGCGTTATGAAGCATGCTAGTGCTGCTGATACTTAAAGCTACGATGCGCAGTGTGTGGAGCGTGCATGACTCGCTTTACGCTGGCTCGCACCCAGAGTGGACCAGCGGCCGGCGGCAGCGCGTGTTCTCCTCGAGGCTCCTCGAACTCTGCCCGCCCCGCTAAGTGCCCCCACGCACAGATAGTGCGCTTCCGTGCCGAGGTGGCGTTTATCTCGGCGGCCCTCAGCGGTGACATGCGTGCCGCACACGACCCTCGCTGCGCCGGGAGGCCCCCAGCTGGGTCATGATCTCATCTGTGATAGCGCCGGCCTCCTCACCGCTATCGTGCCGCCCCGTGATCCCTGGCTTGGCAATGCCATGCGCCCCCGCGGCAGATACGTGTGCGCACGTGCCGTGTTCATTGCGCCGGCACAGGAAGTGCTGCTCGTCAGGTAGGATTGGCCAGATAACACGGCGCGGTTACGTTGCCGCTCTTCGGTCGCTCAAAGGGCTGAAGTCTGTATAATTCTGAATAGGTTTGGCTCTGGTCGGCCCAATCTGATCAGGTGTGTTACAAGTACCGCTACAAGTGGCCTCCAGGATCAGAGACAGGGCCGGAGAACAAGGTCCGTAAAAATCTAGAGCACTGTTACGACCATGAAATGCCGCGCTGTCCGGCGCAATTAGCCGGCCTACGTCAGTACCAGGGCTAGGGGCTGGAGCGGGACCAAGACTACGGTCTCCCGGCTATTGGTCCCTTTCAGCTTGTCTAGGTCTGCTCCTCCCTGATGACGGCTAACGTCATCCTTGTCAGAAAAGTTCACCAAAAATTAAGCCGCGACAAACCAGTTCTGCATGCAACTCGACCATTTCCATTTCTACGGTCGGTGTTCTTGAGACAGGCCTCGCCACCCAGAGAGCTTGACACCGAGGGTAGTGGACAGGTCAGCGAGCGCGTGGCTCGGCTGTCGCGGCTGGTGGCGCGGCCGGCGGGGCTGCCGGCACCGGACCGGAACCGGACCAGCCGCCATGGTGGCCGGCGGGGGACCGGCCGTCATGGTGCCGGCCGCGGAGCCGGCCCCGCCGCCGGCCGGGCCGGCCGCGCCCGGTCGGCTGACGTCAGGGCCGCCTCCGCGGCCGGCGGCCGTCCGGATTGTCCGTGTGGCGGCGCACGGCCGCCCGCCGCCGGGCCGGACCCCGCCGGCCCCGTCGGGGCGGGGTCCCGGGTCAGCCCCGGTCCCGGATACCCGGCCAGCCGCCGGGCCGCCCTGTCAGGCCAGCGTGGTGTCCAGCAGGCGCAGCCGGCGATCTGTTGCGTAGGCATGTTCGTTTTCTTCTGTGTGGCGAGTGTGACTAGGGAATATGGGCGCAGAAGTGAAAGCGGCGGGATCTGCCACGCGCTGCACGGTTGTAGACGCTGCTAGAAATGCGATATGCATAGAGCTGTGGAATACTGCTGCCTGATTATTGTCGATTCATATCATAAACACTCCGTGTTTCACACGCGCACATTGCACCTGCAATATGCCACACCTGATAAGTATGAATGATGCGATTCCCGAAAGCGTTAACAAATCCTAGCAAGGGCAATAGTGACGTCAGCCGCTGCCAAACGGCTACCGACCGCATGTCAGGCGACATCCACGAATTCACGTGGGGAATCTCCCTGTGAAGTATCTGCACCGATGACAAGGTGTGTTACACGATACCCGTCCGGTGCCGTGGCCACTGCCACGAGTGACCCCTGAGGGTCGGCTGGCAGCACCTGCACCTGCGCTGCGTCACAGCTCTGCCGGCCGGCTAACGGAGTCGGTCTGTTGCAGTGAACGTGGACGAGCGGCTGCGGCCGAGCTGCTGCCTAGCCGACTACAAGCTGCAGGAGGTGACTGTGGTGCCGCGCAACAGTCGAACAAACACGGTGAGTTCAGCCCGCTGACCTCGTCTGGCTCGACACGCCCTGACCTGACCTAGTATTGTCTGACCTAGCATTGTCTGACCTAGCATTGTCTGACCTTATATTGTCTGACCTGGCACTGTCTGCCCTGGCACTACCAGATCTGATACTACCTGATTTGTCTGTGCTGGTCTGTTACTGTCTGACCCGTCACTGTCTGACCCGTCACTGCCTGACCCGTCACTGCCTGACCTGGCGCTGCCTGACCTGGCACTGCTAGACCTGATCTGGTCCGGCCTGGCATCAGCGCGTGACTTATGACTTGCAGTATTCCTTAACAGATAGGACGGAAGTGCTCTCGCATACCTATGCTTGCAATCGCGTATGTGCAGTGTGATACGGCCATCAGCCTGCATGGCGCGCTGGTGACAAGACGAGAGGGCTCGTTCCTGTTAACATTTTCAAGTGCCGTGGTCTCTTAAAGCGGTTTAATGGCGCAGTGGAGATCGGGAAAGGCGGAGTATTAGCCGCAGCTGGCCACGAGCCAAATCTTAACCGGCTGACTGGTTCTAGGTGCTGTCGTCGGCCGACATTCTAGCAATGCAGAAAAAGACGGACGGAAAGCGGAAGATCTTCGCCATCTTTGGCAAGAAAAGCAAGCCGGTGAGTCAGTTTTCCGGGGAATGGCGCCGCGCCGGACAGCTGGGGCCGGGCCGTCACGTCCCGGGCGGACGGCCGCGGCAGTGTGAGAGCTGCCAGCTTTAGGGAAGGGGGGAGGGCTTACCGACAGGCGCCAGGCCAGGGTCGGCTCGAAACGCGGCATGTGTGGTGCGATGAAGCTTGAGTCGGCCTGGTGAATGCCTCGCACTTGGAGATGTGAGGGGTGTGTAAGGTGGGCTTGACGCTCGCCGGCAGCTTTATGTGATTCGATGTTGCCTTTGAAGATAGTCGTTTTATGGGAAATCCTCTGCCCTAAGTATGTGCTCAGTGCGGCTTTACGACTTAAGTTCTGCGTCGTCCTCCATCAGGCTGCCACGAGCCTGCCATGGTCAAAAGTGCGCAGTAAATGCTGCTTGCCGAGGCGCAATCCGCGAGCTCCAGCCCGGCTGCCTCGCGTGGCATCCACGCCCACACGAAACCCACGCGGCGCTGCACGCTCCTCGCGCCGCGCTCGTGCAGCGCGGCCGCCTTCTGCCCCGTCGCTCACCGGCCAGGCGGCGCGGCGGGGCGAGTCGCCGGTGCTGGACCGGTCGGGTGACGCGCTGCGGGGCGTTGGGAACGGCGTGGCACGCACCTCTCCTCCCGCCGCGCGATAAGACTGCGCCGTCGCGCTATCGGCATCGCCGAGTGGCGGCGCCGGAGGACGCTCTCGGCTTCGAGTGGCGAGTGGCCGGCGCTCGGCCGCGCGCGAATGAGGGACGCGCCGACCGGACGGCTCCCGGCCGTCGCGGCCAGCGCGCCTGAAGGCGGGCCCGGCCGCGGCCGCGCGCTTCGGGGCGGTCGCGGCCCTACGCCCGGCGTGCTGTCGCCCCCGTCGGGCCACAAGCGCGGCGGCGACCGGGCTGGGGTGGGTCGACGACGCGGCGGCCGCGTTTGGCTGACAGAAGATCGCGGTCGGAGTGGCCATCTCGCCGCGACTTGCACGTCTCGCACGGCGGCGGAAGACCCGCGAGTCTGCAACACGAGTCTGCAACACCGGCAATGCGATGACGCGTCTCGGACTGAAGCCGCTCCGGGAGGGAACTCGCAGGGTGTCGACACCGCTTCGCGTTGTTTTACACACGACCCTCGCTTCCGGCTGGGGGGGGGGGGGGGGGGTCGGAAACCCGGCCATTTACGCCATCGTCAGCCGACGAAATGTCGTCCTGGCGTCATTACGTGCCGACATCATAAATATGCAGCAACTCTGTCGGAGCTGGGGCGAGCGTTTTTTTAAAGCACTCCCGCCCATTTCGTCCGCCTGAGTCCCGACACCATCGAAGCAGCGCCGGCGAAAATGAGAATGGGCGTCGCTCGTGAGTTGAACCGGTCCACACTGCAGCGTTCGTTTGAAATCCCAAATGGACGCAGCGAGGGCATAATCATGCGGTTGCGGAGCAGAAGTGGCCGAGAACACGTGTCTCTGACAGTGTTGCGCCTGCAAAGCGCCCCTCAGGCGCTCAGGGGATTCCCCGTACCTGGTCTGGCCTGGTGTGGTTCGTCAGTGGCCTGGTCTGCCAGAACCGCTGCTACCTGCGTCTGAGCCAGGGCGGCGCGGTTTGTCACGCCCGTCTCGATCCGGCTCGGTCCGGCCCCGCCCGCCTCGATCCGGCTCGGCCCGTCTCGATCCGGCTCGGCCCGTCTCGATCCGGCTCGGCCCGTCTCGGCCCGGCACGCCCCGTCTCGACCGGCTCGGCCCGGCCCCGCCCGTCTCGTTTGACCGGCTCGCTCCGCTTCGGCCTGGTCCCGGCCTTGGATTCGGCCAACGTATCATGCATGCGTGGCCGCCAGCGTTTTTTACGGTGTTTGCTCTGGGGTGAGGGGCAGAGCAGAGAGCGGGTTGCCGGGGAGGATGATGCCGTGAGGGCGCCCGACGGTGGCCGCCGGTGGCCCTGACCCGGTCCTCGGACGGGCCGCGCCGGTCCGGGGCAGGCCTGCGCGGGCAGAGACCGAGCTGACACCGAGTGACACCGAGCTGACACCGAGCTGACACCGAGCTGACACCGAGCCGACACCGAGACGACGCCGGGCCGACACACCGGGGAACCGCGCTGACACCGCGCTGACACCGCGCTGACACCGCGCTTGACACCGCCGGGCCGACACCGGGGCCCGACACCGGGGCCGACACGGGCCGACACCGCGCGTGACACCGGGCTAACACCGGGCGACAACGGGCTGGACAGCGGGCTGACACTGAACCGGTCGTCCCCACGGGAGGCGGGCGTTGAGTCATTGCCAGATGCTGCGCTCCGCGGGAAACGGGCCACGGGCTCTGTGTGTTATCATCGTTCCCACACATCGAGTTTTACGCCAGGATCTGCGCTGTCGAAAGAAGCCGCGTGCCTTGACTTGTGTTTCGGTTCGATGCCTGTGGGAATTAAAATGATCTATCACACACACACCACACACAAACAACACCACACACACACACACACACACACACACACACCACACACACACACCACACACACACACACACACACACACACACACACACACACCACACAACACACACCACACACACACACACACACACACACACACACACACACACACACACACACACACACACACACACACACACACACACACACACACACACACACACACACACACACACACACACACACACACACAAAACACACACACACACACACACACACACACACACACACACACAACAACACACACACACACACACACACCACCCACACACAACACACACACACACACACACACACACACAACACACACACACACACACACACACACACACCACACACACACACACACAACACACACACCACACACACACACACACACACCACACACAACACACACACCCACACCACACACACACACACACACAACACACCACACACACACCCCACACACCACACACACACACACACACACCACACACACACACACACACACACACACAACACACACACACCACACACACACACACACACACACACACACACACACACACACACACACACACCACACACACACACCACACACACACACACACACACACACACACACACACACACCACACACACACACACACACACACACACACACACACCACACACACACACACACACACACACACAACACACACACACACACACACACACACCACACACACACACACACACACACACACCCACACACACACACACACACACACACACACACACACCACACACACACACACACACACACACACACACACACACACACACACACACACACACACCACACACACACACACACACACACACACACACACACACACACACACACACACACACGAGGCGAGTTGGTTGCGTGGTTGAGCTCATAGCCTCAGTCATAGTCTGGTTGACCCGATCGCTAACCACCCGCCCCCTCCCCCTTCCCCCCGCTCCGCGCTGCAGTCGGTTGATCGAGAGCACGGCGTCGTCGGACAGCCTGGGGGACCGCTCCGTGTCGCCGGACGGCTCGGAGGAGTCCCGCCGACCGGCCGCGGTCGCTCAGCCCGCAGCCGCAGGTCATCCAGGCGCCACCCAGGTCTAAGAAGCGGGCAGCGCCCAAGCCACCGTCGCAGCCCAATGGGGTGGGGTACTGGTCAGCCCCGGCACGATGCGCAGGCGGGCCGCGAGCCGTGCAAACTGGTTATATTTTTTGCTTGTTTATTTTTTGCGAGCGGTTGATGACTAAGCTTGCGTGTGGCAAGACTGGAAAAGCCACCTGGGCTGGGCTTCAAATCGTGTGTTCATGGACAGAAAACGCGGTGTTAGTATTGCCAAAATATTTGCATCACCACAATGTATGGAGCTCTACAGAGAGATTGTCGCGGCGCATTCGCTTTTGATCCCCGGGGCTACTCTGCTTGTGCGCAGCCGCATTTTAAACTAATCTGTGGTGTGTAAGCCTGGGCAAAGTTTCGGACCGGGTTTTACGCGCTGCACTCTCGCAGCGGGTGTAAGGCCGCCTTTGGCGTCCGACCGTCCGTCGGCCGCCGGCCAGCCGCGTGGACGCACGCGTGGTGTGCACAGGCGAGCCCCGCAACCGGCGGCGCCGGCCGTGTCCGCCGCCGGCAGGCCGCCCAGCGAGCTGTCCGAGGGCGCCGAGTCGGTGGAGTCGCGCCACAGCTCCGACAGCTCCGGCTACCACGAGGCCGGCCTGAGCGACGCGCCCGACAGGTGAGCCGACCGGCCGCCGCGCGGAGCCGCGGCGGGGCGCCGCCCGCGCCGCCGTGGGAGTCGTGTCCGCCGCCGCCGTGTTCGGACGGCGCCGCCGCCAGCCGTGACCGCCGCAGGCTGGACGGAGGCCGCTGCAGCCCCGTGGCGCCCGGCGCGCCAGCCTTGCAGTGGATCAGTATTCGCGCTAAATCGTGCGTCTGCCGCTATCAATTGCAATTTGGCGCCGATTACGGCCAATCTGCGCGTGTTTGTTGGACGGTTAGTGGGCGCGCGGCGGCGGATGTGCCGCGGCGCCGAGCATCGGACCGTGCCGTGTTTCGCCGCGGAGCCTGCCGACCCAGAAGCTGTTTGCATCGGGGCGGGATCGGCGTGACCTTGGGCTCACCTCTATCAGCGCATCATTCAGAGGTTTGGATGGATTCGGGCTGCCTCACAGCGCTTCGTGACGCGTCGTAACGTGGTAAAGATGCAGCTTCGCGACGACGGGATATTGAGATATGGTTGCATGGTTCTCAACTTTGCATTATGCGTGTAACTGTGGTACTGACGACTCATTTCGCCACTGGCATGCAGTCGACCCCGTTTGAAGTCGCCCCTGGTCTCTTTTCAGTCCCAGCGAGCGTCTGCAGGCGGCGGCGGCGGCGCCCACCAACCTGGGCTCCGTCTCCTCCTACTCCACGTCCAACCTGGCCTCTTCCAACCTCACCCTGGTCAACTCGGCCTCGACCGTGTCGCTGTCGTCGGCCGTGCGCAAGCGGCGCGCGCCGCCGCCCCCTATTCCCAAGATAGTGGAGGACCCGCAGCTGCAGCCGGCCGCGGAGGCGGCGCCGGTCGCTCCCCAGGCCGCGAGCCCGGCCGCCGCCGACGCCCGGCGCCCCCCGTAGCTCAGCGCCAACCTGTAGAGGCCCGACCAGGTCAGTACGGGCCGGTGGACCTGTCTAGCACTAACCCGGCTGGGCAGACTGTGGACGGCTCGCGGAGGGAGTTCATGTCTGAACTGCGTGCTGTGCTGCGGTCTCGTAGGTGCGAATGAGATTGTCCGGCATCCCACTATCTAACCGCTGTTCTAAACCTGATCTTGCCTCCTTCTAGGGCCTTGGAGGTGACTGAGGTGTATCCGAGGGTACAGTTACCTTTTGATGTCTCTCACCATCTCACCTCCGCATGCGCTCCCCCACGGCTCACGGGGCGCTCCGGTGGCTGGTCGACCCTCGCACGCTTCTCCCCACGTGTGCGTGTTGCCCTCTTTCTAGAGCTAGCTGAACGGCCCCCGGTAGTGTTCCGTAGCGGAAGGCGTGTCGGCGCCGCTGCCGCTGCGGCGCCCCGCTCCCTCGGCAGCCGTCGACCACAGCCGCTGCCCCGCCGCTGTCTGCCGCGCCAGCTGGCGCAAGGAGCTGCCCGACGAGCCGCGGCCGCCGCGTCCGCAGCTGCCCGACCTACTGCCGCCGCCGCCCGGCTTCGCCGACGCTGGAGCCGAAGCCGGAGCCGCGGCCGCGGCCGCGCGCCCCGCCACCAGCCGCCGCCCGCGCCGCCCGCGCCCGCTCAGCGTCGGGCGCCCGGCCCAGCACGCTCCTGCGCAAGAAGCGCGCGCCGCCGCCGCCACCGCTCGCGCCGGACCAGCGTCGCGCCGGCGCCCCCCGAGGAGTCGGAGACGGTGACGTCATCGGAGACGGTTTGGACCGTCACCGAGACAGTGACCGTCACCGGAGGCAGTGACGCCACCAGAGGTCCGTGACGTCACCGTCGAAGGGAGAGGACTGCGACAGGCCGGTGCGGCGAGCGGTCTCCGCACCAGCGTCCGCGTGTGGCCCCGATAGTGCTGAGGGGGACCGTGACGGCGATGGCGAGTGCGCGGACGGGCCGGTAGATGACTCCAGTGACGAGGGGCGCGCACAGTCCCAGTGTGTCGTAATCCACCGGTGGCGGAATTCCACAAGCTAGACTGCTGGTGGCGGACGCACGGGGTCACAGTCAAGGTTAGGGGTTTTGCATGCCTAACACTCTGTTTGTGAACTCCTGTTTTGAATGACTGTCGTAAGATCGACTTGCCGTACTGAAAATTTTCGTCTTGCTTGTTTAGAATGTACGGATCGTTGTTTATGCTTGTATGGTGTTCTTTTTAACACTTATATTTTACAATACCAGATAGTGTTTATCCCAGTTAGATCTCGACTGTGTTTTCCAGTCTGGCATGCCAAGCCCAAAGTGGCTGCTTTTTTCCCTGTCCCCGGTTGTCTGAATGCCTTATGGACCATTATATTTGCAGACGATGAGACTGAGCCGAAGAATAGCTCGTCGTCCCGGATCGTCGACAATCGACGCTTGAGAAGGCTCAGAAGAAGGCGTCCTCCCGCCGTGGACTCCTTCGCCTCGACCGAGACGCTGACGTCATCAGACCAGCCGATGGTGCCCGCCGTCGGCCAATCCACGTCCCCCAATGCTGAGCCCGAGCCAGCGAAATCAGCGGCTCCGGCAGAAATCACATCACCGAACCAATCCGACGCAGCGATCAGCGACCGATGGTACCGAGATTCGGGTGACGGCAGACGCCGGTAAAGCGATCTGAAGGCGGGTCACAGAAGCAAAAACAATAGAAGCAGCGGAGGCCGTTTTCTGAGGGGAACGGGAACGCAGTCGGCGAACAGCGGTGGCAAAAAGCCAGTCGGGGAGGATCAGACGATCTGGTGCAGAAGCGAGCAGCACCCAACCCAACAACAGCAGACGAAAACAAACCCACGGATGGTAATGCAACTCCTGTGCCGTCGTCTCGGACAGGGGCAGTGCTGTCCTCTGCGCCCGCGAGCCAATCGGCGGAGACCGTCATCCAATCACCGTCGCCCATCGCACCAGTTGGCCAACCAGAGAGCAGTCTAGAGAGATCGGCCAGGCCAGCAGAGCGTACCGAAAATCCTCCGCAACAGCCTGTCGTCAAGGAGTCTGTTCAAAGTGAGACAATACCTGCGGTCCCGAAGACACAAGAACCCGTTGTAGAAGTTGACTCCCAGTTCGCACAAACGCGCCATAAGTCAGCCGAGGTTGTCACGCCGACGCCGCCGCCTCCACCAGCTGTGGCGGAGCTGCCGGCCGTGGAGGCGAGGCTGTCGGCGCCAGAAGAGGTCAGCAGTGAGGACATGGAGACGGCGCGCCTGCGCGAGGTGGACAGCGCGCTGGCGTGCCTGGATAACAACCTGGACCAGGTGCTGGCGCAGGCGAGCGCCTTCACCGACGCCGCCAGCCTGCCGGCCGAGGCACTGGCGTGCGCGCCTCCGCCGCCCGTGTCTGAGGCCACACTTCCGGCGACGACGCGAGAGAGCCGCCGCCCGCCCCCGGAGACGAGCGAGACCGTCGAGGAGACGCTGCAGGTTGTCGAGGAGACTCTGCAGACTGTCGAGGAGACGCTGCCGGCGGTCGCGAAGGCGGCGGCGGTGGCGGGGCCGGCGCGGTCGCTCAGGAGCGAAGGAGTGCCGCCTGCGGAGGCGGAGCAGCCACCGTCGGCGTCCCCAGCGCAGCTCACCGCCGCTGTCCAGGTTCATAAGGAGACCACTGTTGTTGCAGAGGTCGTGCAGAAGTCGGCGGCGCCGGAGAGCCAGGCAGTGGCAGACGTTCGCTCTGCCGCTGAGGTAGCGCAGGCGTCCTCCCTGTCGGCGGCTCCCAAGACGGAAGCTGGGCGCCACCAGAACGGAGCGCGCGACACGCAGGAGCTGCCTCCGAAGGCGCGACCAGTGTGAAACAGATGCCTCCAGCGAAGGTGGTGTATCAAAATGGACACAATTTGTCTGCTGAAGCTCAGGAAGAAGTCATGGAAAAGGTCGAAAAAGTGC